AAGTTAAAGGTAATCTCTCTCAACTAAAGAATATTCATATAAATATTTATATCCATTCAAGAATTTCAATGCCTGACGAATCATTTACATAATAGGCATGTAACTAATAAAACGTTATAGTTGCTGCAATTTATAACAATTTGCTTTAATTAATCACAATCAATTAATTAATCAATTACAATCTAATATAAATAGAATTATCTATAATTATTATACTTGCGATTATACTATTATACTGTACTGTTATATTTACTTTGCAAAGTAAGCATTGTCATATGATTTATGTTGAATGCAGAAATTAATATTTTTTAAATTAAATTAAATTATTAGATTATTAAATTAATTTAATTAGTTAAAAGTTATATGAACAAAAGGCTAACTCAGTTAAAAGCTGCGTTAAAATTAAATTAATTAAATTAAAAATTAATTTTATAAAGCATATTATTTATATTAAATTAGAATGTCGTAATTTGTTAAAATTAAAATATTTTAAATAACAAAAACAATTACAATATGGATTATCAAACAAATTTAATATATTTTATTTGTGAATTAAATTTATATGAAACAACAGAGAAATATTGTTTTTCTTATATAGGAATGCGTCTTTTTCTTTATAATTTTTTCCTCATCCACATGAGTAAATTTTTAATTTAGGAAAAAAGTTAATAAGTTTATGTGTTTTAAAAATAACTAGTTGGTTATAAATAAATTTATTTAAAATTAATTAAGTTAAATTAACTAAATTAACTAAGTTAAAACTTATTAACTTTTTTTAACTTTATTAATTAATTTTTAATTTTTTAAACTATCGTTACTATCAACCTGATTGAATGACAAAACACGCGATAGCTTTCATCAAAGCTTTGCCAATATACTATTTATTGAAGATGCAGATTTATTCGGCGTACCGGACATTCTTTATGAATTCACCTCGTCGCTCGATTGAAGATTTCGGCTTGTTGTCAGCATAACATGAAACACCGTTGTCATGCATACGCGTGCGGACTGCGCAAGAAACCGTGCAATTAATAATGCAATGCCCACGTAAAAGCGACTCAACAGAGGCGCGAATCTCAGCGTAAGTGCCGTTGTGAAGCGAAGGTAACTGTTTGCATCGTTACTTAATTACCAAATGTTTTTCTGGAGGCTGATGAACGTGCGAACCTTATAACGCAAAACTGTTGCGTTAAACACGACGGTCCAACGCCGAAGAATCGCGCGCGAAACTTTTTTTTTTAATCGTTGAGAGAAATGAGAGGAGAGCCAGACGCTTTGGGCGAGTAAATTGAAGTTACTAGTCGGTAATGAAGCTGAGATGAAGCTAAAACGTAATAAGTCGCTAATTACTAATCGCGGGAAATTATGGGTGAATAAAATGACCAACGTGTGAAAAGCGAAGTCATTAATTTCTCAAGAAAATGTATTAAAGACATATATAAGTAACACATATAATGCGGCGATAAGAAATCGCTTACGTGCAATTCCTTTATAAAAAAGGAGATGTTAAGTCGATTGCTCGCATTTCTCGAAGTTTATTGTTGCCGCTTTTCCGCTGATTGATTCTTTTTTTTGCGCTAATTTCGTGAGTTACTATCAATTTACAAATGACAATTTGTAAAAAGCGGGCGAGATTAGTAGCGAATGAAATTTTGAATCGGTTTTGAACAAGGACAAAAATAAGATAAACAAGGATGAATAAGTTTCTATTTTTCATCACGATGGTGATACGTCGCTATCATCAACGAATAATATAAAAATGTATAATATGAAAAGCTTACTAGGGCGTGTTACTAAATTACATAACTACCTGCATATTCTAGTAAGTTAAAAAATCGCTATTAGCAAGATATGCTAATATGTA